AGAATAATTCTGCTGTGTTTCGTATGGTGAGCGTAGAAAACCGGAGACGTTTTTTACTGGAAACAAGGCATTCCATCTTAGTCTTCAGGGTTGACTACGCATCTGCATTTTGATTCTTTATTGAGGATCATAGAAATATAAATTGAGAATAGATGTACATGTGTCACAGCAACCACATACCATCAGGTGGACTGTGTGCTCGTTTGTCATATCCTATAAAAAACACGGCCTTCCTACTTCCTCCTACTAATATAGCTGCAGCATGGTTCTACCACGTTATAAAAAGTTTCTTTACAGAGTTCCTCTTTAAAAGTCCTTGTTGGCCAGAATAGACTCAGGCTTCTTGTCAATAGCGGCAATGACAATCAGTTTTTTCATCATGTTTACTGCACGTGGACTCCACGAACTTCACTGACACGGATTATATCTACAGCAAAGATGTCTCGTTGAATTTGATATTTTATGGCCCCAATATGGTGGGCTGACAATGCGTCTATGCATGAAATTTCTTTCAACACAAGTTTTAGTTTTTTCCCAAGCAATAAAAATAAATAAATAAAGAATGCCAATAAAACGATTAGTAGCCTTATATTTTTGTGCTGGGGACGTTACTAAATCCGACTTTTAAGTGTATTTTTGTAATCCGTTGATTTTTCACAGCAAAGAGAGTATCTCCGGCCGAGAATTGCGGAAGTTCCGGAAATATTAGTAAATTTAGATCTGAGTAGGGCCGTCTGGTTTATTGCCGTCTTTTTTCAATTTTGCAAGGCTTTTAAATTTATTACATATCTATGGAGCCAAGAACCTTTCGTAAATTCGTATAACGTAGTTGACAGCAAGAAAAGTCCAAAAAAACACATTTCTGTGAGGATCTCGAAGTAGTAGACAGATTGGCAGTTCCACATATCATAATGGGTGCTTCTCTATAATCGAATTCTTACAACGTTAATAAATGTGCCGATATTACTATTAAAACGTTTTGATGCAGTCTGGATGCAGGTGGCTCAGGACCGTGCTTTGTGATACTCCTTGGGGGAGTTCTGTCTTCATTAGGGGACTTGTGATGGACCATAATGTGGTAATAATAATATAAACGTTTAGCCAGGGACTAGATTATAATCTAAACGGACGGAAACGGATAGTTTTCTTTGGTGTTACCTTTAGCTTGTTCTCCAATCATTTTATATAATATAAAATAAACGCTCTAAAAGTACGTTTTTGCCTCAAATTGTCTCTGATCAAGATGCTCTTAAACGGTTTGATTGCTGTTTGTTTTGGACAGTTGTATTAACGGATGATACGGACGCGACACTGGAAATAAGCCAGCTACCATAATTGATTTCCGAATAAAGAGGATTTGGAAATGTTTTTTTATGGTTTCTTATATTTATGCGAACACTATACAATGAATAAAAAAATTCCGGATTTTTTCGTGAAAACAGTTTATATGTAGTAAAATCCCAAAAATAGTTTAATTCATTGTTTGTTTTTGTATTTGAGTAAAACTTTTTAAATTTTCATATTTATTTATTATTTTTATGTTTGTTTATTTATTAATGTTATTTTTTTCCGAGACTGTCCATTGATAAGATTTAAATTAATATTTTGTTTTGATTTCCATATTCATTTGTTTAGTATATTGAATTTATGGGCGTTAACGATGTGTTTTTGCACAAATGCACAAATAACTTCATCTGGAATTCGTGTCCTAGACCCACAGAGTAGTACCAAGGTACCATAAAACAAGGTGGAGTCATCGTGTGATGATAATTATTGATCTAAGATTCAAACATAACACAATTATCCAGCATCGATTTTTTTAATCTACATAATTTTGTCGTGTATATATAAAAAATATTTTTATAGTTTCATTAATATGCAGAGTATCAACAGAGTGAACTGATTCATGCCTCCAGTAAAATCAATAAGTCTGTTTCTACTTTAGAATAAAATAAAAATAGTAGAACTTATAAACGGGTAGATGAGTGGTCGGAAAAAACTGAAGAGCAATAACTAGATTTTTAAAAGAGTAGTGAATTTAAATGATCATCGGATATAGTTTAAATTATTCTTAAAATATTACCATTAGTGATTCAGCTCACCACATAAGAGAAGTGTAATTACACTTTCCTAATGGTGCTTCGCTAATGGGTCGGCTGGACTGGGGAACGAGCACGTCTCTAAGAATTTCAAGGTCAAATAGCACTATAATGATAATGTCCACAGCATTTCGTCCTTTTTTACACGGGGAATTGCCATACTCACTTAGTGGGGGCAAGGACGGACTATATCGGAATCACGAATCATAGCGACTAAAACCTCATGGTATTCCACATTCGCCCCTTATTGACAGCGCCATGCGCACTATACCGGCATAGGCGCTCCTCCGGAGAGGAGACTCCGAGAATCAGAACACTAGGCGCGCCTTCTTCCGCAGCCTTCAACTCCAACTTCGCAACGAATTCCTCTGAGTCCGATACGTGGCGGTCAATGGTTCAGAAAAAAATGAGCACTCGGAAGCACCAGCCTTTTGAGCTCCTTCGGCGGAATCTGGTCTATGACTCCGCTACCAACCACGTTTCGGCCGCGGAAGTTAGAGAGAGCGGCGCATCGTAATACCAACACTCCTCCTGCCTTGCGGTCCCACCAGCACCGCGTCAGCGTCAGCGTTCGGCTCCTTAGTGCGTCGCCATATCAACACGCTTCTTTCTCAGTAGCCAACCAAGTTCTCAGGGGTAATATCGCATCTGCATCATCATTAACTACTAACGCCCGTTCGTACGAGCAAAATGTTTGAAAAACTAACAAGAAAACCAACGTAACTTTTTTAAAAAGATTTAATTTACAATTATGTATTGTACAATTGATTTTATAAATCGTATTAGAAATAGCTTGGCAACGATCTTTCCCAAGGTATATTATCATCCATGTATTTCCACAATGTATAGATAACCTGGCTATATACAAACTTTTCTAACATTGCTTTATATAAATTAATTATCGACTCTGTGGTGTCGAGTAACCGAGTGAAGCCGGCCACAGTCAAGCGTGTGCCTGCTGTACATACACTACATCTTGAAGCGAGCTTCCATTAAAACATACTTCAAGCCGCCGAAGAAGATAGGTCAATTTTTACCATCCGTCAAGTGTTATATCCCTCTACAAGCTGTACAAGCTGGATTGTGAAAATGGTTTCTCTTATATAGGACAAACAAAAAAAGATATATTAAAACCCGCGTGATAGAACATATAGCTGACTTGAAGCACCGACGTTCCGGGAAGTCTGCAATGTGTGAACATTTTCTAGATCGTCCCCGCCATTACATTAGATTCGACACAAATCCTCGCAAAAGAACACCGATTCCTGCCAAGGATTATTCGCGAGGCTATTGAAATTAAAAAACATTCTAATTTCAATAGAGAAGATGGATGGGTGCTGCCATCTGCTTGGGATCATATAATTAATAAGACAGCAAGACTTCAAGATACTATAAGCTCATTCTGCGTAGATCAGTTCAAAAATTAATATTCAAAACTGAAGGCTAACTATGAAATCGGGACGTCAAACACCTCAGTCCCCCACCCCCCGTGAAGAGAATCGATTACCACCAGCGATTTTTCCGAACCGATACGACTTAGGGACCTTCAAGAAAAGAACCTACTCCTTTTTAAAAGGCCGGCAACGCATCTGCAATTCCCCTGGTTCCCTCGGTGTTGCAGTTGTTCATGCGCGGCGGTAGTCACTTACCATCAGGTGAGCCGCATGCTCGTTTGCCCCCTCTTCTATAAAAAAAAAACTTACTATATGACGCGACGATCCGCTTTGGGATAAGCTTATAAGGCCTATGTGATGTTGTGTGATAATGATGAAGAAGGTTGGAAGGAGATTCAATAAATTCTGTCATGTAGTTTGCTAATAAATAATTATATAACGCGAATTAGGTTCGTTAACTTTGGGAAGTATTCTCCAAGGAGCTCGACAAGCGAGAACAGGCGCAATATTTCCTAGATAATTATTCTGTTGACTTAGAATTTCCCTTGATAGTGGATGTTGTTTAGTAGTTCAAATTAAAAATGTTAAAAATAACTTAGTTTAGTAATTCAACAAGAAATAGCGATTTTTTTTCATTAGTTAGTGTGAAATGTTGTTCCCATGCCGTAAGAGAGTCCATTATTTGATCTTTGTATTCATGGGAAATCTTCCCGCAACGGGAGAGGTCCAGGTCGTTGTATTAAAAACACGTGACGATGTATCAATACATTGAATCAATCCGATATTTTGTTAATTCGTCAACATCGAGTAAACATCGATGTGTTTTTATTCGTTGCATCAAAGAGACAAATCTGTTGGATACCATTGTTTTAATTTTTAATTTTAACTTTTATTTGTTTAATCTTTTTTTCTCAAAGGATAAAATTCGTTGTCCATAATTGACGAAGAGGATTCAATTCAAATCAAAGATGCTGACTTTCTCTTTTCGTTTCCATGACTACTCGCGAAGTGGCGCTGCAAATAAGGTATCCCGCTAAACATAATTTGTAACGAGTTGTAATCGAAAGCTACGTTGAATGTCTTTTGAATTATTTTTGTCTTTGATTTACTCCCTTCATGGAATTGACTATCGTTTGATAACGTCTAAAGTGTCAATTGTCAAACAAGTGTTTAAACCTTGACCCTTCCTTTGTCTTTAAAATTTTTTTAGCAGTTTCAAAATTGGAAACGTAATAAAGCTTTTTGATATGTAAATTTCTTTATATATATATATTATATATATATATATATATATATATATATATATATATTATATATATATATATATATATATATATATATATATATATATATATATATATATATAACATTCGCCACATTTATATCTATCTAATTTATTAAAAAAACAAATCCATGTATGGAAAACATCGATGAATATTTTGATATATCGATGTTTTTTTAACGTCGTAGTATAAAGAAGGTTCAAATTATTTTTGGCAGGTCCTACCTTGTTGACGGCATCGATGAACGCGCCTTTCTCCAGTAGCAACTCCACAACAGCTGTGTGTCCAGCTCTCGCAGCCAGCGCCAGTGGCGTGTCCCCAGCAGCGTCCGTACCTTGTACACTCGCTCCAAGAGTCATTGCATATGCGACGACGTCCACTGAACCTTTGACACAGGCGCATTGTAGGAGGTCGTTGTGTTTCTGCAACAAAAAATTCTGCTTTTATTTTCAAAACAATAAAATATGGTATATAGTTGATTTTTAATGTTTTTATTAAAAAAAAAAACGTTACTCTCAAACTGGGATTTCATCTTGCATCGCGGAGGCAGTTGACAAACATAAATTGCACAAGGACAAACATCCAGACCCAGAACAATTATTTATAGGCCATATAAATACTTGTTCCGTACGGGATTCGAACTCGCCGCCCGCAACGTCATAACTCAATGCCAACAAACCACTGCGCCATGGAGCCGTTTATATAAGGTCACTATGCTTTATTTTTCTTCTAATCCAGTCTGGGTTAACACCACCCTCGCTTACCTCTATAACCCAAGCAGCACCTACTGCTGTGTTCCGTTTTCAACGATAAGAGAACCAGCTTAGTTATCAGTGGACTTCTTTGTTTGAATTAGTCAGACAGATATCATGGGTTACAGAATCCAATGGCCATCATGTGGACTGTTGGCGCGTTTGTCGTTGAAATATTATCGATCACCGATCTACCTCCCAAGTGCGACGTTGCCCTAATATTTTAAAAAGTCGTCTATCTACTTTATAAAATTTTGAAAAATCAACAACCCAAATACTTATATGAGAGGCTTAGATTCTCGCAACGTTTCTCATGGGAACCTATTCGTTTGTTGTACCCAAGACACAGGACGACCGTATTTCGTGGTAGCTTTCGGTATGCTGCCACAAAGTGCTGGAAGAACGTACCACCTCCGATCAACAATAGCACATGGTTCAAACTTTAATCAGTGTAGTGGCGGTGTAAGAATATATCCCATATCATCCCGTGGATGCTGTAACAGGCGACAGAGGGAAACAAATCAGGAGATGAGCAGAGCAGTGTCTTCCTAATAACGACTAAAAATAAAAATAAACTGTTGTTGCCAACCCATTTGCGAAGCGTGGCAACTATAGCAAATGTCCTTCAGTGGTCCTCCAGAGGCCTATGTTCAACAGTGGGCTTTATTAGGCTGTAACCGAACGATAACAGATAAATGAATGAATGAAAGCACTGCGAAATATTGATTGTTATTCACAGATAACAATGGAGGGTCGACAATGCGTCCAGCAGAACGACCTGTTGCTACCAGAAACTACCTTTTAAATTTGTAAAATTAGCTGAATTGTACGTCGGTGTATCACACCGTTCTTTTGAAGTATACTGTGTCTCTGTACTATATAACTTAAATTAAATTTTGAAACCTTGAAACAAAAACAGCTGGTGGTCTTCAAACGGCTGAACATATTTTCTTAAATAGTTAAGAAATCACACTCTCGATTAAGACACCTTTCAAGCGAAAAAATCTTGATCAGAATCGGTTTATCTATGGAGCTACGATACCACGGACAGACACACAGATATATAGATACTCAGATACACAATACAAACTTATAAAACATCTCAGTTTTCTTTTTATATAGAATTAGGGTGACAAACGAGCACACAGTCCACCAGATGGTAAGTGGTTGCTGTGGCCCATAGACATCTGCATCTATCTTTGTTTGCAAATTAAAATGCAGATGTGTTGTCCGCCTTGAGGACTAAGATAGAATGCCTCTTTTCCAGTAAAATGGGTCTCCGGTTCTCTACACTCACCATACGAAACACAGCAATATTAAGCTGCTATTTTACGCTGGTATTCTGTGAGAGCATGGTCCTTCCCCGGTCGAGCCGACCCAATCGTGCTACAATTATACTATTAATATATAGCTGCAGCAAGGCTCTACCACGTAAAAAAGTTTTCGTCGGGGGTTAAAACTTAAGAAAAAAAGTACTTACCTAATTTACTTCCTACATTTGCATTCCTATCTTATGAAATAATTTATTTATGTGCCTTTTTTAATGTTAAATTTTTTTTCTTATATTTCCATCTTTATTTAGTTATTCGTGATTAGTTTAGTTTAGTTTATTGCACTCATGTCTCTGATGTTATAGTTACCGCTAGACGCCATTTTAGTTCCTAAATTATTTTGTATGTTAATTTACATTTATAATTGGAACTAAATATTGGAGCTTTGTGGCATTCTTTGGGGGAGGCCTATGTTCAGCAGTGGACTTGTGAAGGGCTGTAATGATGACTTATATTAATAGCATTTATACTATTAATATTAAAAAAAAAACCTAAAATTTCTAATCTTTTAAAACATCGAAGTTGCCTACAAGCCTACAATATAAGTCATTTTGGTTTGGTAAGGTTTTTTTTTTAATATGATACGGTGATAAACGAGCACACAGTCCACCTGATGGTAAGTGATTGCTGTGGCCCATAGACATCTACATCTATCATCGATTACAAATCAAAATGCAGATGCGTTGTTACCCATGACGACTAAGATGGAATGCCTCTTTTCCAGTAAAAAGGGTCTCTCGGTTCTCTACACTCACCATACGAAACACAGCAGCAATAAGCTGCTATTTTACGCTGGTATTCTGTGAGAGCGTGGTCCTTCCCCGGTCGAGCCGATCCATTCGTGCTACAACTATACTACTAATACAGCTGCAGCATGGCTCTACCACGTGTAGGTTTCTTAACCTTTAAACAGTTTCAATGTATAAAAGGATACAAAAAATGTCTAGAGGTCGCATAGCAAACTTTTCTTCGCAAATCTTCTTTGTAAGAATAAATTTAAGAAAAACATAATCCGACTTCAACTTTAAATAAGTAAATACAATTTAGAATCGTCAATTTAAAATTAGTACGCAGGTATATTCTTTCGTTAAATAAAATATATTCTTTCGTTAAATAAAATATTCAAAATTGGTTAATTATGTCAAAGATATCGCGTCACGTCATCATCATCATTACAGCCCCATCGCTGAACATAGGTTAACGCAGTGGTTCCCAAACATTTTCAGCTCGCGGCACACTTAAAGGTATCGTATTTCGTTTCGCGCCTTAGCAAGTCGAAATAGGTACAATGATAAGCAAGAAAGGCACAAAAATATAACATTCATAATATGACACTGAGTTTTTGTATTTAATTTTTTATTTATTTATTTAAAAAACGTTACCCCCACACTAGGATTTTCTCCTGTATCGCTGAAGCAGCTTACAAACACAAATTGCACAAGGACAAACATCCAGATCGGGAACAATTATTTGTAGGCCATACAAATACTTGTTCCGTGCGGGATTCGAACCCGCGGCCCCCAGAGCAACAACTAATTGCTAAGCCACTGCCGTCAATTAACGGCTCCGTGGCGGAAATTGATACTCAAGAATACACTTAATAAAATAAAATAGAATGGCAACTTAGTCAATGTGATGTGTGAGCTTGATAATCTCCACACATTTTTCCAAGCGTGGATAAAGCCTGCACCGCTACTCTTATTTCTTGCTTCAAAATGTTTCAAAATCTTTGAACGATATTTTCTCTTTATTACTCAGGATCTGCCTTCATATAAAATATGATATTGCAGAGAACTCTTAGAGCTTTTGAACTTAAAGTTGGTATTCATTTTGGAACCGATTCTGAGAATAAGCCTATCGGCGAGCGATAAAATAATGAACGCATGTAGCACGCGATTTGTATTGTTTATTTTATATCTATACCGAATACATAAGTTTTTTTTTCGGAGTATGGTAAACGGAGGCGAATAACGGCACCCCTCTTAACTCTCTACGGCGCACCAGGGAGCCGCGACGCACACTTTGGGAACCTCTGGGTTAACGAATGTCATAAAACAGGGCCCTTAGCCGTTTAAATATACATATTATATAGTATGTAACCGCGTCGTCATCGTGTCACAAGCGTTTAAACGGAACATATTATCCTAAATCACGCTATCGTTACTTTCGAACGACTCTGTATGTACGAAGCTCTATACTACCACTACGCTACACTAATACTACTAAGAAATTAAAGATTATAGAAATCTCTTTGCTCTATATACTTGGTATTGATTGCTTGAATTTCATGTTTCTTAATGTTGTGTGTTGGTCAAATAAATGTTTCTTTCTTTCTTGCCGCTCCTCGTACAGAACACCTTGCCCGGCGGGAGAACCCTCCTTTCCCCTTAAACATATTATATTTATATACCTCAGTCGCTATGATGACATCTTATTTTACAACGCTATCTATACCACTCGGCTTTCTATTAAACCGGCGTGATATATGAGTTTGTGTTTAAAATGAATCTTGTTGGATATTTGAACAAATATTAAAGTGAAAAAGAGAGAAAAATGAAACACTGTGTTGTATACAAACAACTCCAGAGTTTCTTGCAGGTTCTTACTTCCCCGAGAAGATATTTTTTATGATATTATTATTTTTTATACCACTCGTGAATTCTGATGTTTAGAGCTTGTAAGCTTAAGGCCCGAGCCCGAGTGGACAAAGAGCACGAACAAAATGTTAGCGGGCGCCACTCGGTGTACACTAATATGCAAAATTTGCAGCGTTGTTTAAAGGAAATTAGAATTTCAAAACATTTAGTAAATAGTCGATTTTAAATTTAGTAAATATTCATAAGATTGAAAAGATTAAAAATCCGGATCGAAGACGAAAACGCAACAACAATCAAGATACAACAGGAAGCTCTAAGATATTTTTACGTTCAAATACATTCCATTATTATTCCAATATTACAATTAAAAAATAGAAATATATTCTTATTTATGTCCTAATGCTGGATCTGCACACATTTCTGAAAGGATTTGAGTGCATGGAGGATTCCATGCTGCCCCAATGTTTGCTAACGGGTTTCACATGTTCCTGATATAATTTTTTCAATTAGTCCTAAAAATATTTTATTTTTATTTTCACATACATCGTAAACCAATAGTAAAAAATATGGAATAGAGAATTACATATATTTTTTCACTATTACTTTTTTGAAAGTGCAAGTTTTTGAAATTTAAAATGAAGAATTTTAAAATTTAAAACGAAGGCAGTAAATTAATTTAATTTTTGTAATTGATTAATAAAAATCATTTTATAAATCATTAATTTTGGCGCGTCACTTTTAA